AAAAAAACCAAAAAACAGATTTGGTGAAATCCTATCAAGTTTTCTCTTTTTGAATAAAATACATTTTTTCATTTGTTTTGAATTTTAACTTGCATCAATAATTTTTAGTTTTCTTCATGTAAATTCTCACATATCATTTAAAGTATTAGTTTTAATGTATATTCTCTTTGATATTATAAAAATATTTTTAGTTTTCATTGTTGCTATATATATATATATATATATTTTTTTTTTTTAATGTGTTTAGTACAGGGTCTATAGCTTCTCACTGCGTATTTCCAACTTGTAGTGATTTTCCTGTTTTCAGCCTCCCAAGTGCTGGGATCACAGACAGGCACCACCAGACCCAGTGTCACTGTCAGTCATAGTGGACTCCACCCTTGGGTGGAGCTGGCATAGCATGCCGGGGATCAAACCCCAAGTGCTGAGCTCTGCCTAGGTAGGCTGGTTTAGTCCACTGAGCTATTTGGCTAGCCCCTCATTGTTGCTATTTAGAAGTGTGATTAAAGTATATTTTATGTACATTCATTTAATTTAAAGAGGGAATCATTTTGGTTTATGTTTTCAGAACTTTTGGTCTATGGTCATCAGGCTTTTGGTAATTCTAATAATTTTTCTGGAAGTTTTTCTTTCACATTTTCTGTGTGTCCAGTCAAATCATCTGGTAGGGTTTTTTTGGTTTGTTTATTTTGGTTTTTTGTTTGTTTGTTTTTGGCGGAACGGGGGATTGAACTCAGGCCCTTGCACTTGCCAAGGAAGAGCTTATTCTACTGAGCCATCTCCCTGGCCCTCAAATCATCTGGTAGTTAAAGTTTCATTTTTTTCCTTTCTAACTTTTGTAAGTCTTATTTCTTTTTTGTATGTTATTATACTGACCAAAATGTTCAGTACATACAGCAACAGAATTGTTCATCTTTTTTTGTATTTCCAGTTCAAAGGAGGAGTTTTCAAAATTCTATCATTAAGTGTGTAAATTCCAAGCAGGGAGGGAATTTGAGTTCTATTTTCTTAAAGAGTTTGTATGTGCAGATGCAAAAGTATGTTGTGTTTTGTTTTGTTTTGATTTGTGTTCAGAGTCTCTCGCTACCCATGTCAGACTCCTAGTGATCCTCCTATTTTCAGCCTCCCCAGTGCTGGGATTATAGGTGTGTGCCACCACTCCCTGTCTCTGTGACCTGCTCAGCTCACTCAGGAGCAGGGCAGGCACAGCACATGGTGCTAGGGATCAAACCTGGTCCCCGTGCTTGCCTAAGCAGGTGCTTAGTCTGCTGAGCTGTCTTACCAGCCAGCACGGGTTTGTTTTTATCATAAATAGAATTGAGCTTCATCACATGCTTTCTTTTCATCTATTGAAATAGTGATATAATTTCAATTTTGTTCCAAGTTGTTTATACTGTGTACTGTATTAAATGATTACAGATTTTAAATCCATCTCCCTTTTCTTGGTCACAATTTGAAATTTTAACAAAGTATTTCTCTTTTCTTAGTATATGTTGTGAATATTTTTTGCATTGTGGTTCATGGATGACATTTATCTATAGTTTTCCTACAGTATCTTCTTAAAATTTTGGAGTCAAAGTAACATTGACCTCATGGAATGAGTTGGGCAGGATTTCTTCCTTTTCACTTTTTTGGGAAGTATTTGTGTAGTTGAAGGGACAGTGTAATGGGGGCTCTGCCTTGTGTAGTACTATACCTCTGCTCCTCTTTGGCTCTCATTCTCTTGGCTTCCTGGCTACTCTGCAATGAGCGTCTTTCTTCCACCAACTCTTGCATGCTGTTTCTGCCTCAGCACAGACCTAAAAGCAACAGAGCCTGTTGAGCATAGACCAAAACTTCTGAAAGCACAAATCAAAATGAATCTTTCCTCCTTTAAGTTTTTCTCATTAGTTTTGGTCAAAGCAACAGTAAAGCTGAATAACATTGTAGGAAATGATTATTTTGGCTCACGATTTCAGAGATTTCAGGCCGTAGTCAATTGTCCCACTGCTTTTGGGCCTTTGAAGAGGCAGTAAGCCCTTGAAACAATGTGTGGTTAAAAAAAGAAAAAAAAAAAAAAAAAAAAAAAAAAAAGGCTCCTTTAACCTCCTGGAAGCCAGAAAGAAAAAGAAAGTCCCCACTTCCCCTTCAACAGCATGCCTCCAGTGATCTAACTTCTCCTCACTAGGCCCCTCCTCCTAAAGGTTGCACCACCTTAAAATGCAGACTTTGCCTCATCTTTCTTTTTTGTTTTTGTCTTCAGTATTTGAGATTTTATTGGTTGTGTTGAAGATCAGTACACATGATTTACTTTGTACACAATTCTTAACACACATACCAAAAAAAGCCATGTATTGTTCTTCAGTTGTTCCAATGACTTTTCAGGTTCAAATTTAAAGGCAAATTTTCTGTAAGAGGAGTAAGTACCAGTATCTTCAAATGCTGACAAAGTGTTACTTAAGTCCCACAGAGTCACAATTTTATATCACATGCACTACAAATTCTAATTTTTTATCTTTCATAGCACATTAACACAATAAGGCAAACTGTACTACCACAACCAAAGATGTTATAGAGTGCACACGATTCTCACAGGGCAACAATTAGGATACAGTTTTCTAAAGAAATTGTTTCTTAAAAGAAACAATTCTACTAAATACATGGGAATATAAGTCATTTAAAATATCCAAGACATATTAAATGCAGGACTGTAATTCCAAATTGCCATTTAGTATGCTTGGTATTGAAGGATATAAAACTAACCTCCACCTATGGAATGATAAGCTGACACCCAAGAGAGTCAAAGCCTTCCATAATTCAATATCCCCCTATTTATGGTTGTACCAAAAAATAATCAGAGAATGATTTCACCTCTAAAAAAAATCATTTACACTTAAAAAATGCAATGAGATGGGATTCCATCCTTTTTAAAAACTAGAGCTACTAAAAAATTTGCATTTACAAAATAGTTAATAAAAATATTCCTCTGGATTGTACAAGAAGGGAGACAGGGAGCACTGATAAGACATGGTGTGTGATTAATCAGACTTGGCTTTTTTCTCTTCTGTTTCATCAGAGGCT